TAGGCAAGACTGTCTCTACACTCCCTTCCAACCACTGTGTGCTCCCTTTGAAAACTATAATTTCATTTAATTTTTCTATTTCCCATACAGCTATAGAGTAAATAAAAATGGAAACACATGAATGCCTGAAGGGTACGTGTGGAATGAAACACAGATGGGTAAGTGAGAAAATAAGGGCTTATTACACTATTTCAATGCTGAGTGGATGATATAGAAAGCAGCTGTCTGGTTCCTCAGGCCATACACTGCGTCATTAATCATTGGCAGACCGAGGTGACTGCTCTTAGTGACCATCACTCTGACCACCAGAGATCATCATGGCCCCTGCCGAACCAGCAGGGGTAATTGCACTTTCCATTCACAAAGGTAAGCAGGGGACAAGAGAGGATAAAATATATTTTTTTTAAATATTAAAATGCTACATGAAATGTGTCCGGAGGTTGAAGTCATAACAAAAACAACCTACCTACAGACATGTCACACTCAGCCACAATAGAAACATCACAGACAGCCACCATACATACAGCACAGTGTCACAGGGATAAATGGTAATCCATAAACAGACATGTCCACACCACTGATGGTGGTCAGATATCTGTTACAAATGATAAATTACTGATATACTGTGTATGACAGAATCATTGCACACACTACTGTGAGTTTTATTGTTGTGGGGGCTGAGCTTTCTGACACATGGTGTGCAATGCTGTGAGTTTTAATATGAGTGTTAAACCTATGATAAATACAAACATAGCACATTACTGTAGGTTTTATTGCAGTGGTACACTTTTTTTTTATATATTACAATACAATCCAACATAGCCACCTAGTTAATTGGATACTGTAGGCACCAAAACTTTATCCTAACGAAGCAGTTTTGGTTTATAGATCATGTCACTGCAGTCTCACTGCTCAATTCACTGCCATTTAGGAGTTAAATCACTTTTGTTTCGGTTTATGTAACCTTAGCCACACCTCCCATGGCCGTGACTGACACAGCCTCCATGAAAAAAAAATAGTTTAATTTTTAATAAGAACTTAAAGCAGGCTCTGTTTACTTTAGAAGTTCCTTTCTCATAGATATTGGAAATCTGTTACAATTCCCGCTGTCAAAGACATTTGTTTATTTGAAAATAAAAGATGCAAACGTGCTCTCTGAGTATCATCGGCTACCAATGTACTTCTTAGACATGGCTTATCTGAGTGGGAGAAGGCAATAAGGAGTAAGTCCAAGCTTGATGATGTTTCCACCTGACCGAAAAAACGTTTCATCACTTATGTTTGACTCATTATTTACTGTATTTGTTGTTTAATATACGATATCTATATAAATATATATGAAGTAAACATTGTATTTTTTCTTCCTTTCTCTACTTTATTTCATATCATGCTATGGATGTGCAATTTATTAATTTTTCCCCAGTTTTTCTTTTTTTCTTCATTTATGATCTTTGTGTTGTTACTCACAGTATTGATAATGTAACCATAACAAAGATCCTTGCTATTATGTCACTGTCCATACACAAAAATGTACAATTGTTATTTTTATTTTTAAAACAATAAAAAACGTTTGAAAAGAAGTTCCTTTTGCTTGCTCTGCTAATTGAACTTTACTCACACACGAGGCACCTGCAGGAAATTAACAGAGCAGGAGATAAGACATTATACATTAAATAAAAAATAGAAGGGGAAGAGTCTGCACTTAATAACGGAGGAGCTGCAACCCACAAAGGGAATCCCTCAGAAACCCTTTAGAATAGACAAATAGAAAGAGGGGTTTGGGGCTGCGCTGTTGGATAATACAATGAAAATCAATAAATATAAAACATATGTATATAAGTACTAAAAACTGATAAAAGTAATGTCTGTACAGCTTTATCAATAAAAATAGATAGAAAGTAGAGAAATTCCAAATCAGAATCAGGATTTGGAACTCAGGATTTGGATCGGGAGTTAAAACCCCTTCAGTTACTCACCTTCTTCCACCACCCCGCTCCCTTACCTCTCCTCCCCCGCCGACGTCAGCTCCCCCGTCTGACGTCAGCGAAGCGGAATGTGCATGCGCGGCAGTGCCGCGCGCGCATTCAAAGTGTCCATAGGAAAGCATTTTTCAATGCTTTCCTATGGAGGCATAATAGCGTCGCAGATGCACCTCTAGTGGCTGTCCAGAAGACAGCCACTAGAGGCTGGCTTAACCCCAAATGTAAACATAGCAGTTTCTCTGAACTACTATGTTTACAGCAGGCAGGGTTAACCCTAGAGCGACCTGGCACCCAGAACACTTCATTGAGCTGAAGTGGTCTGGGTGACTATAGTGTCCCTTTAACCCCTTAAGGACACATGACATGTGTGACATGTCATAATTCCCTTTTATTCCAGAAGTTTGGTCCTTAAGGGGTTAAGTAAGCAGGCTAGGCTGCTAATCAGAATATAAAACTTATAACATCTGCTTCATGAGATAAGAGAAGAAACATAAAAATGAGATACTATTCAGCATGTGTTCAAAGGAAGATTCTTGGGTCCAATATGTGTTTTGAAAATAGAGTGTCCCCATGGACTGTAGGCTGGCGCCCTGGAGAGTAGACGGTCCATATGGTAAGGCAAACGATAGAGCCGGCTGTGGGGTCTCCGAGTGATAGAGGGAGCATTGGTGGATGGCACAGGCCTTCTGCTTAGACAGCTGTAACTTGCGGTTGTTGGGGTAGGTTAGTGGTTAACAGCTCAGGTCTGTGGCTCTGCATTCTGTTGGTCAGTTTGGTCCAGAATTCTTCAAAGATTCTCTCGAGTCTAGCCACATAGTGGAGTTGCGCACCCAGTGGACACAAGGCCACTGCCAGCTTAGGTGGGACAACAAACTCGTTTCTGATGGAGGTGCTGCAGGACTCAAGGTAAGTGTGTGCTGGGATATCCCTCACCGGCGGGGGAGGGGCAAGGGGAACAGTAGTGCTCCACCACCAAAGTTCCTCTCTCAAGGCAACGGGATCCAAGAAAGCGGCCGCATCTCAACATCCCCTCCACCAAGAAGGCCGTACGTAGGCCAAAGGAGCTTCCCTTGTAGGCTTCCTGTCAAACTGGAGGACAATGGTGCTCTCACAGGTGCTAGGAAATCTGAGATGATTTCAGGCTTAAATAATATGAGTTGAGAGTCCTTAAGTTTTGTTAAATACAAGATTCCTCGTGGAGCTCTAACAAAGTGCGACCGCTCAGCGTGGCAGTCAAGCCCCACCCCTGTTGTTTACATTTTTACATTGCTACCTAATGCCACTTACAGAGAGGCTTTCTGGTTGTTGTCTTGCAATATTTGCAGTACCAACATTTGACCAAACAGAGTTAATGGATCTCTATGAGGATTGCTGATTGCTGCATGAACATATTTATTCAACTTCGAAAATGGCAGAGAAATTAGACTGTAGGGGAATGATTTATTCTCCAAAACCACATCATTAAGCTAATGTTTTTTAATGCTTAAAGTGTCCCTTTAATGCCAATAAACATATTACTGTTTTCATTTGTTTCATAGGACAACTCAAAAATAGTCTAACGGATGCCAACAAGTGGATTTTATTTTAAAAAGCTGTGTGCAAGAAGATAGTTCTCTCAATGTAATAACAGGACTTATTTTTTGAAATATACCATATTTTTTAAAGCATAGGACGTGTTTATTTACTCCAAAATTTGGTAAAAAAACTGCCATCATACTGTATGCATAGGCGTGCGCACAGGGTGTGCCGGGTGTGCCTGGGCACACCCTAATCTCCGTGACACTCCTGTGCATTGAGACTGGCAGGTGAGGATCTCCCCTGTCAGCTCATACAGAGCCAGCCCTATCTGAGCGCCGGCTCTGCTCTAACCCTCCATGGGCCGGTGGGGAGATCAAAGCATGGAGGGAGGCAGGAGAGGACCCAGGGAGCTCCAGCCAGCAGCTCCGCCGCGTTCCTCTCCCGAGATCTGAGCGTTGCCACGGCAACTCTCCACTGGACCACCAGGGATGACAGTAGCAACAAGGATTCCCCCTCCATACATAAGGTAAGAAGAGAGGGGGGATATTAAGTAATCTGCCCCCACCTCCACTGGACCACCAGGGATGGCAGCAGCAACAAGGATCCCCCTCCCTACATAAGGTAAGAAGGGAGGGGGGATATTAAGTAATCTGCCCCCACCTCCACTGGACCACCAGGGATGACAGCAGCAACAAGGATCCCACTCCCTACATAAGGTAAGAAGGAAGGGGCGATATTAAGTAATCTGCCCCACCTCCACTGGACCACCAGGGATGGCAGCAGCAACAAGGATTCCCCCTTCCTACATAAGGTAAGAAGGGAGGGGGGATATTAGGTAATCTGGCCCCACCTCCACTGGACCACCAGGGATGGCAGCAGCAACAAGGATCCCCCCTCCCTACACAATCTGCCTCCACCTCCACCCCCACAATCACCCAAACATACAGCGCACACACTCACACATACAGCACCCTCACACATACAGCACCCTCACACACACAGCACCTACACACACACAGCACCCACACACACACACACACAGAACCCACTCACATACAGCACCCATACACACAGCACCCTCACACACACAGCACACTAACAGCACCCTCGCAAACACACACACACAACACCTTTACAAATACACAGCACCCTCACTCACAGCACATTAACAGCACCCTCACAAAGACACACACAGCACACTCACACACAAACAGCACCCTCACAAACAGCACACTAACAGCACCCTCACAAACACATGACACCCACACACAGCACACAAACAGCACCCTTACACACACAGCACACTAACAGCACCCTCACACACACATCACACTAACAGGACCCTAACAAACACCCTCACACAGCACACTAACAGCACCCTCACACACAGTACACAAACAGCACCCTCACAAACACACACACTACCAGCACCCTCACACACAGCACCCTTACACACACACACAGCCAGTCACACCACCCTCACACAGCACACTAACAACACATACACACACAGCAGTGTATGTATGTGTGTGTGTGTGTGTGTGTGTGTGTGTATATATATATATATATATATATATATATATATATATACACACACACATACATATACACGCGGCGTGTGTTTGTGCTTTAGGGTGCATACCCTAATGCAATAGGCTGCGCACGCCTATGACTGTATGCCAAATGAATGCTACACTATATGGACAAAAGTCCTCTTCATTATTGCATTCAGATATTTCAATCAGACCACTTGCCCCAGGTGTAAAAAAATCAATCACCTAGCCATGCAGTTTGCATACACAGAAGATGGGAAAAAATGGGTCGTTATGAAGAGCTCAGTGAATTCAAGCGTAATGCAGTGATAAGATGCCACGTTTGCAATAAGTCCATTGTAAAATGTCACCCCTGCTATATATTCCACGGTCAGCTGTAAGTGATATTATTGGAAAGTGGAAGCATTCAGGAACAGCAGCAACTCAGCCACAAAGCAGAAGACCATGTAAAGTCATCGAACGATGTAACCAAGTACAGAGGTGCATAAAAGTCGCCAACATTCTGCTGATTCCACAGTTGAAGCGCTCCAAACTTCTATTGGCATTATTTATTTTCAACAAAATAACTGTGACAGGAGATTCATGGAATGTATTTCCACGGCTGAACAGCTGCATGCAATCCCCACTTTACCAAGTACAATGCCAAACATTGGATCGAGTGGCGTAAAGCAGTAGAACCGTGTTCTGTAGAGTGTCGAATCCCCCTGCTCTGTTTGTCAGGCTGATGGGCGGGTCTGGGTTTGGCGGTTGCCAAGAGAATATTACCTGCCTGACTGCATTGTGCCAACTGTAAAGTTGGGTGGAGAAGGGATAAAGGTATGGGGCTGTTTTTCAGGGGTTAATTTAGGCCTCTTTCTTCCATTGAAGCGATATCTTAATACTTTAGCATACATAGACATTTTTGACAACGCTATGCTTCCAATTTTGTGGGAACAGTTTGGGGAAGGCCTTTTTCTATTCCAGCATGACTGTGTCCCAGTGCACAAGACAAAGTCCATAAAAACAGTTGGATGAGTTAAGGGTGGAAAATCCCTTACCTCAATCCCATCGAACATCTTTGGGATGAACTGGAACAGAGATTGTGAGCATGGTGTTCTTGTCCAAAATCAGTGCCTGACCTCACAAATGCTCTACTAGATGAATGGGCAAAAAATCCCACGGAAACACTCCAAAGTCTTGTGGAAAGCCTTATCAGAAGAGTGGAAGTGGTATCCCAATATTATAGCCATATAGTGTATATATATTCACCCACAATCAGGCTCTGTGAGCAAGATCAAATGCAGGCGCGCACCTCTATCTCGCAGGTGAATCCGGCCTGTCACAGTGTTGCTGCGGGTTACCATGGCAACACTCCAACTCTACACTATGCTGGAGCTCACAAGCAGAGCCTGCACCACCAGGGAACGCAGAGAAAAGAGGCCGGGGGGTGGGGGAAATATATATAAAAACTGTTTCTTTTACCCCCCTCCCTCCGGGAACACATCCTCTATCTAACCCCACAAATGCACACTCACACTGCATCCACTAGACACACACTGCATCCTCTACATTTCTTGTTATAATATGAATGCGTCTTATATTCTGAAAGATACATACTTGGTAATAGAAGATATGATTTATTTTGTGATCGGCAGAAAGCTTGTCATTTACTGGCCTCTAAACTGTACTTTCAAAGTGAGTGCCTGTAGAGTGTGATCTGACCATGAAATCAATTCAACGGGTACTCAAATCAATATTATGAAGAAACAGCTTGTCCGCTATTAAATAATCAATATCAGCATTTGTTTTATGTACGCAGAAAATGTAGCTGCGATTCCATGGGTTCTCCAGTCACCATGCATCGTACAATTGGTGGGCTTTAAGCAAATGTAAAAAAAAATTAATAATTTCCTTGCTCAAGCATTCTAGAAAGCACTGCTGAGTCCATCTGAAACGGTATCCTAAAAAGAAGAACGGCTAATAATCTGCACAGGGAACAGAAGAAGATTTGTTTCATTGTGTAATTCTCCATCACCTTGAGAGTCTATGTAGTTAGTGTATAAATCAATATATAACAAATTGTTCCACCCCCTCCCCCACCCCCCCACTGCATGATAAAGATTTTAAATATCTTTCAAATTGCACCAGCATGTTTATCTGACTTACTGTACCAAAAATCTAAAACAAATCTATAAAACATCACTCAGAAAATGAAGAGCTGGGTTGACTAATCTTCTCCCCTATTATAAAGTTGCTAAACATGCTCATACAGAAGAATGGCAGCAAAAAGCAAAACTTTCCTTCCCACACAAAATAATTATTTCACTAAAGCGAGAAGGGTCCCCTGGACTGATTGTACATTTAAGCATATGGGGAAACCAATTCTGCATACCTTGCAGGAAGCTCTAGAGAGGCTTGTTTGTAAGCTACAATGCAGAGACTGGTTAAATCACTGCACGTTATGTGCAATGTACAGGTTAAGTTGCAGTTACGATGAGTCTTGTTTTTTTTTTTTTTTATTATAAATAAATGATTTTGCTCCATAATCACTCCCTGTCTACCACTTCCTAGCAAACTATGGAATGGCCCTTTCTGCCTCCATCAGATGCCGATCTGTTGGGGATGCTTTGCCAGCATTACAGCCAGAATTTCTCTGATGTTCAAGTTCAGCAGCGCTCCAGCTCATCAGCCCATGCCCAAAATAGGCTCACTGTTCTGGCTCTCCCTCCTACACTAGTCCGCTCTGCAGTGCTGGGAGTAAGTGATATCACATCATATCAATTCCTCCAAGTAATATCCAAGTATACACTGTACATTACTGGGGCTCTGTAATATGCCAGTACATACTGCACATTATTGAGGACGCTGTAATATCCAAATACACAAGGCACATGAGAAAACTTGACAATGGTAACTTCACCTTTTTGACAAGTGTTGAAAAATACATAAGACAAAGTAGTCCCTACTTTGTTGTATTATATTTTTTGACTTGGTTGGAATTTTATCTTTATACGAATGATCATTTTTGCATGACAGGACTGCTTTAATATGCTTAATGTATTGAGTATATCTTTAATTTATTTAATTAGATATAGAATGAATCAAAACTAATGAGTCATCTCCATCTTTGAGTGTCCATTTAAAGGGACACTCCACTGCCCAAACACAGCAGAAATAAAAATCACTGTTTAGTAGATATTGCCAATTGAAAACACAAATGTATTTAATGTTCCTTTTTTTCATTTGGGTAGATTTAAACTTAAAGCGGCACTGTCATGCCGAACTTACCTTTCCTCAATCTCTTCCTCTTCTCCCCCTCTCTCAGGATCTGTTCTTCTTTTCTTCCTGTCTTCTTTAGTTTTCTTTAAATTCATAAGACAAAGTAGGGACTCTTTGCCTTATGGAGGATTCCTCCGCTTGACCAGCTCTGACCAGCATAGGAGCAAAGTGTGCTTCTTTTCCGCTGGCCAGAGCAATTTTCCCATGATCCCTAGCTTTCCTCCCTGTTCCCACGATGCCTCCTGTCATTTTACACAAAACTGCCGAATTGCGTTCTAACTGAATGAGAACAGTATGTTCGTTTCTTTTAGAACGCAATTCAGCATTTTATTCGGATCGGAATTTCATTCGAATGAATGAAACTCCGATCCTATTCGTGCTGTGGCTGCATCTTGCAGCCGCTTAGTAGATAACTCCCTAATTCCCACGGTATCAGGGAGTTATCTACTAAAAGGCTGAAAGACCTAAATTGGTCTTTCAGCCACATTTACTAATACTAAGTAAAAATTACTTAGTATTAGTAAATGATCTGCCCCTACTCGCTATACCGCGAGTAGGGGCATGTCTGGTAAACAGTGAGCAGCCTGTGGCAAAAAACTATTGGCCCCCACCCCTAAATGACGGGTGGGGGCCCTAAAGTAAAATAAGGGGGGAGACCTCGGGCGGCGGCCATAATGATAATGAAGGGGTGGGACCTACTGCCCCCCCCCGGCCCCAACCCCTGCGCAGTGGGTGGGGGTCATAATGATAATGGGGGGGACACCCCCTAAGTCAATTTCCTCCCCCCCCACAAGGTGACAAGGGGTCCCCAAGCCCCTAGTCACCCACCCCCCTACCCAAATGAAAAGTCCCTACCTACCCCCCTCACCCTAAAAAATAGTGAGGGGGGAATAAAATAACTAGAGCGCAAAAAAATAATCCATCTTCACCCATGGAGGGGTCCGCGCAGACTGAGCTCCGTAGGGCGGGGGAAGGCTTATAAAGCCTTGCCCCGCCCTGCAATTAGGCTAAGAACACTGATTGGTGGGTGGATTTCAAGCCATCCAATCAGAGTGCTCTTTGTCATTTTACACAGCGTGGGAAAATTCAAAATAATTTTCCCACTCTGTGTAAAATGACACAGAGCACTGTGATTGGATGGCTTGAAATCCATCCAATCACAGTGCTCTGTGTCATTTTACACAGCGTGGGAAAATTCCAAAGAACTTTCCCACACTGTGTAAAATGACACAGAGCACTGTGATTGGATGGCTTGAAATCCATCCAATCACAGTGCTCTGTGTCATTTTACACAGCGTGGGAAAATTCTAAAGAACTTTCCCACGATGTGTAAAATGACACAGAGCACTGTGATTGGATGGCTTGAAATCCATCCAATCACAGTGCTCTTTGTCATTTTACACAGCGTGGGAAAATTCCAAAGAACTTTCCCACGCTGTGTGAAATGACACAGAGCACTGTGATTGGATGGTTTTCAAGCCATCCAATCACCGTGCTCTGTGTCATTTTACACAGCGTGGGAACGTTCTTTTGAATTTTCCCACGCTGTGTAAAATGACAAAGAGCACTCTGATTGGCTTAAACCCACAAATCAGAGTGTTCTTAGCCTAATTGCAGGGCGGGGCAAGGCTTTATAAGCCTTCCCCCGCCCTGCGGAACTCAGTCTGCGCGGAGCCCTCCATTGGTGAAGATGGATTATTTTTTTGCGCTCTGGTTTTTTCTTTTTCGTCTGGTTTTTTTTTTTGGGCGCTCGGGATTTTTATTTTATTTTAAGTTCGACGGTTATGATGGTTTTTTTATTTTGCCTTTTTTGG